AGTGTGTATTAATCCATACATAGTGTGTATTAATCCATACATAGTGTGTATTAATCCATACATAGTGTGTATTAATCCATACAGAGTGTGTATTGATCCATACAGTGTGTATTGATCCATACAGAGTGTGTATTGATCCATATAGTGTGTATTGATCCATACACAGTGTGTATTGATCCATATAGTGTGTATTGATCCATACACAGTGTGTATTGATCCATACATACCGTATATATGTATGTATGTATGTATGTATGTGTATATATACTGTATAAAGTCCACTGGTTTGTTGAAATGACCGTCCGCTCTGATTTAAATAAGAAAACCAGATTCTGGATGGAGGTAAAGAAGCCCGGCGGAGCTTCCTGCTGCAGCAGGAGCTGTGTGCTGTTACAGGTTATAGTTCCTGTATGCAGGAGGGAAAAAAAGGAGGGTGGGCAGAAAAGGAAGAGGGTTCAGCTTCCTGAGTCTGCTGGTCCTGACCCGGACGGACCCAGTTCCCCCCCTCCCTGCAGGACAGACAGGCGGGCGTCCTGGAGGGATGCAGCTTGTGCGCCGTACGCAGCGACGCTCTCCATGGTGCCCCTTTAGAAGGTGCACGTCATGGGGGCGGGGCCTTCCTGACCACAGATGCAGTGTTTTTATTCTCAGGAAAACAAGTCAACAAAGGTGACGTCAAATAAGCCCATTGGGTGGAGACGTCCAACAATTTGGATGCATTTAGTTTGCAGATAAAATGCTTTGTTTACACTGAGTGTGGACCTGCAGCAGAAGTTATCTCAGGTGTAATACCCCTGATGACCACCAGGASCCGATTCTTTCTGTGTTTTCAGCTTCTAATCAGTTTTTCTGCTGATTTATTTTTGTCCAAATCAGAGCCAGACCTGAGCGCTTCACTCAACCTCCTCCATCCTCTGCCTCACATGTCAGCAGCAAGTCATCAACACGTTAAACTGTACCTGAGAATATTTGTTTTCAGCGTTCCAGATGTAGGTGCACGAGCCCATGCAGTAGTTGGCGTGGTAGCCTGTGGGCTTGTGGATCCACTTCCAGCCTAGGTCTTTCCTGAAGTCGATGTACAAGCTCCGCACGCAGCAGGTCTCCGTTTGTCTGCAGAGACAGAGGAGARCACGTCCAGTTCTCATCTGGGATTAACTGACATGAATCAAAAAACTAAACTATCATTAAAGGGCGCGTGACATCTAATTTTTGTAATAAACACGAGTRCATTTTTGAAAAGATAACAYTGATAACATACTGCAAAAACAATTTCACGCTGCTGAGATGAACGGTTGTTGAGATATTTGCATGCRAAGAAACAGGAAGTGATGTCAGAGGGGAATGTCTGAATGTRAACAGCAACAGACTGAAGAGAAGAATCTGATGTTTCTTCAGATTATTTTGAGTTTTTATCAGAGATTAAGAAGAGTCAGTGGAAATAATAATAATATTGTTCCAAAAAACAAAGTTTACTTTGAGTTCCCCTTTGATGTCACTTCCTGTTTCACTTTGGCTGAGCCAAGTTCAAAATAAAACATGCCGATCCGTGACAAAATGCGTAAAATTGTGTAATATGCCAATTTTCTTAAATATACAGATGTTTTCTTTGACCTTTAGTAACTGAAGCAYATGCACATCACAGGAGCTTTAAATATGTCACATCGACACAGGAAACCRTGTGAATCAAACCTGCACATCCAGCTCAGCTGCCTGGACTAAAGGTCATTGTTGCCAAAGTAAACATAAACATGTCAACAACTGTTGTTGATAGAAGAAAAAACACACAACTGATCTACAACCTGAAGATAATTTAAATTTAAGGAGAAGTCTCCRTCTTCTGAGCGCAGAGAACAAACACCGCTCTGTTCAGTGATGCTCTGTTTGTTTCCTGTGTGCTTTTATTTTGAAAGTCTCAGTCAAACGGACTGCATCCCTTCAGGATAACGCGGCGGCAGCTCTTACGCTGTGCAGGTCTCCTGTGCGGCAGTGGAGCGTTTCGTGCGCGAGGTGAGGCGGGCGCTCATGTTCTGGGGGATGGACATGGTCAGGACGTAGGGCGGCTGCTCCGACCTCTGCCGCATGGTCGCCGTGTCGCCGCGGATATGATCCGTGCCGGAGATGGAAAAACTGAAGATGCTGCCGGGCTGGCCGCACTCACAGAACACACGCAGCTGGAAGCTCTGCTCCTCCTCTGGTAAACAGACGGATATTTGTTTTAGGAAAAAAAAAAAAGAAAGAACATCAGTCCGGCTGCAAATATGTGACTCATCACATCAAAATGAGGATTAAGTAAAATTCGGTCAAAATGACCTCATCATATTTTCAGATTCCTGGTTTTAAAAGCTACATTTTGATACTTAGATCCTGATATCATTAGTAGATCCAGAGATATTTAATTTGTCTTGTTGGTTACAATAATGTGGGCTGCTGTTTGTAAAGTTACACAGTCAAAAATTACCACCAATATTTTTGTTTTATTTAGCCTTTTATAAGAAAAAAAGAACAGATTTAGTTTTCAAAGTCAGTTTTTCACC